TTGGAACAAGCTTAGCAAAGCACAGGGACCGCGGTTCAATCCCCCAGCACCACATACCAGCCAGCCCCGCCCCCTGGTGGGCTGAGCTGGCCACACACACACACACACACACACACATAAATAAATAAAAATTTTAAAAAATAAATAAATAAAATTGTGGAAAAAAATAAAATAAAATCACTATTATATTCTACCTAGAAAAAAAAAGAACCTTTCACATTATAGTGACATACTAAAATTTTTAGTAATGTGTGATAGATGGAAACAGATATTTAGAATTTTTCTATTCTCTAGAGGCTTTCATCACTCACAATTCTTCATTTTGTCATTTCTATCCTCCTGCCTTTGACAATATCTATATCCCTAACTAGATTCTTGTGAAAATAACTATTATTTAGTATAGTGTTGATCCAGTATCTTAATACATATTTACTTAATTCTTACAATAACCTTACAATACAGGAATTATCAGTATTATTTTGTACATGAGAAAATGAAGTCAGAAAAATTGAATAATCTAAGATTATATGAATAACCTCTCTCGGATTATATGAAAGTAACCCCCCACTGTCAAATCATCTTTAATCACTGAATTAAGCCTGAAAAACATTAAGTCAATGTGATGCCTACAGAAGAAAAAAAGATAATGTATAAACTTTGAATTTTTCTGGACACTCACAACATACATACATACATATGCACACACCATTAATTAAAATATAGTTTGCTTCTTTCTTAGCAGTTGAAGCTTCCATGAAAGAAAGAAAGAAAAAAAAAACCTTCTAGTTAAATTAGATACTATCACTATCACGTTTATTTCTAATTTCAAAAAACTATGCAACAATAACCACAAATCAAAACATAATATTAAAATGGCTTTACATAAAGCCATTTCAAGGGGAAAAGGTGGCAACAGGATATAGCTCAATGGTAAAGTACTTGTCAAGCATTTGTGAGGCCCTGGAGTTAATCCCCACCACCCAAAAGATTAAAATTAAAAAGATATTGTTCTGCAGATTTGAAGACTAAACAATAGCTACATAGTATGTCACAGATTTCTTTTTACTTTCTCAACTGCCTTGACCTGTCAAAGAAGAGTAAACAGAGGATTTAGTATTACTCTAACCCTACCAAACAGTGCTTACTAAGTATTTTTCTCCCATTAGGGACCAAGAACAGAAGTTCAGACCCTTACCAGAATCATACAAACCACAGATTTATAATAGTACTACTGACATTTTTAGTCAGATACTTCTCCTTTGTGTACGGGTAGGGTATGTCTTGTACATCGTACGATATTTCCCATCATCACTGAATAGATGCCAATAGCACGCCCCATTTAGTTGTGATAACCAAAAACATCCCCAGACACTGTGTCGAAGGTCCTTGGGAGAGCAAAATCATTCATGGAAAACCATTGTTTTAGATGTTAGGGTCCTGAATCTTTGAAAAAAAGTCCAGTCTTGTTAATTATAAGTTTGTTTCTAAAATTTAGACATTTAAAAATATAATGGTAATAGTACAAGATAGATATCTTTATGGTTGTCATATTTTAGGTTAAAGCACCTTTTAGAAAACTTTATAACACGCATACTTTTAGTCACCTATTTATCCTCAAAGTGGGAAAGAAATGTTCAGTTCTTTCGCAGCTCTGCTAGCAAAAGGCCACCTATGAGGAGTTACCAAGAAAATAGTGAACGTTTTAAAATTTAAAAAATTATTACAGTAAGACTTAGCCCCCTCAAAATATTCTCCTTCCCTTCAAACACATTTATCCCATCATTCTTGCCATTTTTTTAACTTTATGTGAAAATAAAACAAATTTCATGACAAAATGAGAATAACAAGTCAATATATTGTATATCATTATCATGACAGTAGTTATTCAGAGTACAAGACATAGAACAAATTTCTACGAAAAAAGATAACCGCACAAAATTTTTTTCAATGAACTAAGAAAAACACTTTATTTATAAAGTGAATTAACATATACACTAAATGCTTTGAGAAAGTGGAATAAACGATCTAGGGGATTATTTGAAGTCTTCTTCCTACTTCTATTTATCTTTTATTTTGCTCGTGTGTGTGTGTGTGTGTGTGTGTGTATAATTTATACATATTATATAAGAGAAACTATGCAATATTGAAGCTTGTGCATCTAACTTAGTTCACTTAACATTATGTTCTCAAGTTACATCCATTTACCTATGAATGCCTCAAGTTTATCTTTACTATTCTTGCCACTCTGGGAAGCAGTTCTGGAAGTCCTCATTAGTGAGTACTTAATTGCACTGTCATGGCTGCCTGGATGTTCTAAATTCAAATGTTACCTTTCCTGATCATTCTGACTTTGGGAAAAAGCCAGAAGTCCCAAGCTGCCAGATCCAGTGAATAAGGTAAATGAAAGCACACTGTACCATTTTACCAGTATGCCTTTCTGTTGGATGTTACCTGTCAGGATCATTCACTATTTGAGGACTCAACCATTATTTTTGATTGAACCTTGCAAACATATTCATGAGAAAAGACTTCCAGAACTGCTTTAGAAAATGGCAAACATGATGGAATAAGTGTGTTTGACCAGGAAGGACTTGGGGGAGCACGGCAAGGGGAATTAATGACAATAATTAATTAGTGCCCTTTATTGTAATAAATGTTTAAACATGCACTATGTATTTCAATCATACCTATATATACATATATAGAAGAACACAAACAATCCAAACATACAAACCCCAGCACTCCTCAAATCCCCCACTTCTTGTTTCACATGCCACACTGGTTCTTAACCTGTGTATCCTGGAGGTTAAAGCTTATATCTAGCTTTCAGATTTGTTCATCTGGTTCCTACAATTTGTAAGCCACTCAGGAATAAGCTGATGAACTTTAACTTTACTACAACTTGATATTCTGATATTTAATAATAAAAATACTCTTCCCACTTTTACTTACTGACCCCAGCTGACCAAACTACTTCTTGAGGTCACTGATGCCATTCAGACAACCTTTCTGCTGTCTTTGAATTTTGTATTTATACTGACACAATGGAATAGTATTCCAGTTATTTACAATATATCTTTTAATACCAATGATCAGTTACTCCCTGATACAAATAAAATATTTTCAACATGTAAATGTTAAAAGACTAATTTTTCAAGAAACTTTGAAAGGCCTTTTATATGAGGCCCATATTAGGAAAATATTGAGACAAAAAGTAGATTAGTGGATACCTAGAAATGGGGATGTGTGAGAGAGAATGAGGAGTAACTGCTAATGGCTTCAAGGGCTTCTTTTTTGGTGAGGACAACAAAATGTTTTAAAATTAGATGGCGATGGTCAGACAACTTAGTAAACATACTAAAAACCAATGAATTGTATTTTTAAGTGGGTATACTTTATGATATATTAATTATAACTCAATAGGGGCCCGGGAGATGGCTCAGTGAAATAAGTGCTTGCCTGGCAAGTGCAAGGGCCTGAGTTCAATCCCTGGTTCCACCAAAAAGAAAAAAAAAACCCAACTCAATAAAGCTAGTTTTTAAAAGTTAACACAGGAAAACAGAATTTTAATCAACATTATTGATAGCATTGTGTGTGATTAGGGACAAGCTCTGCAGTTTGCCACTTCAGGGGTTATACAAGATTTGATTGAATTTTGACATTAAAAACTTAATTACCTTATCCAGAAAGAAATATTCACCTTTCCAGAAAACCAACATGTAAATTTAATCATAACTTTGGATAATGTTACCAGTCATACTTTTGAAAACCACTTCAGAAAGCCAAATGCTATAGCAACAATATCTCCCCAAAAACAATATATGAATATCAATAAAAAATATGAAGTCCTTAGTTTAATTAAGACACTGACACTGTAGTCATATAATAAACAGAACATAAATTTAAAATAGCCAAATTACACGGTTGCAAACATCTCCAAAACCACAACTAACAATTTCACATCTTGACCATTTTACCCAAACCATCATTAATAATGTCGATCACCATAAACCATCAATACTCCTTTCTAGGAAATCAAACTGTGCTATACAAATAAAGTCAAACATTCCATCTGTTCCATCACAACTACTTAGAAATCATACTTTACCAATTAGAACTCCCTATCAGACTTATAAAAGTGAATGTACATCAAAATCTGCACCTTAAGTTATCATAATAATATATTTCTCTAAACCACAAATAATTCACTATGATATCACTTCCCCAGTAAATATTGATTGTTAAGGCTGTCCAGGTTTTGACAAATCAGAAAAAAAGCCAATTAAAACACTCCCACCAACTTAATCTTTTGAAAGAGGAGGCTCTATGCAGATGAAAACATAAAGCTGGTTAAAGGGGAATTTTAAAAATACATATTTTTTTACAACTTCGGACAGCTAAAATTCTAAAAATTACCATCCTAAATTTAACATGGATAAACCAATGGGCTAATTATAACGTCAGGAAAAAGTTCTCCAAGAACGACCAGAGGGCAAGGATGGCCTTGCCTTTAGAGCTAAGCGGAGATAGAAGGAAGCACAGCTGAAGAAAATACTCATTGAAAAATTATTGCGAAGTAAATTGCAAAAGACCGAGTTATTTTTGGGTTACACACACGGGTTAATTATTCCTGTAGGTTCCAAGAGGGGTAAAGGCCCGGCTGCAAGAAAAGAGGGAAAGTTTAGGGTCGCGGTCCCTGAGGAGTGATGGAAGTTCCCAAGCTGGAATCGCCCAGGCGGCAAGAAGGGCTGGAGTGGTGTCAGCGGCAGCTGACGGGCAGTGGGGAGAACAGCTGCCCGCCGCGACATCAGAGGGAGAGTGACAAGGAAGAGGAGCGACCGAGAGAGGAACCGGAGCTTCGGGACCGTCGCTGCAGACCGACACTCCGTGCGCCGGAGGTCGAGGAGGGGACCCAGGGGTGGGGTCTCGGTCTCCGCCGCTGGAGGCCCGGCTGAGGGGGCCGCGCACAGGGGCTGCCGCTCCGGCCGGCCGACACCTACCTGCGGGTCCGGGCAGCCGCCCCAGAGCGAGGCCTAGTGCATCGCCGCCGCCTCCAGCCTCCGCGTCGCGCCGAGCCTGCTGCTCCGCGGCCACCGCCGCCCCAAGCCGGGCCGGCCCGAGCCCGGCTTCCCGCCTCTGCCCCGCGCCGGCGGCCCGTCGGCCAGGGGAGCGCAGAGCCGCCGTCCGGAGCCCCGCTCCGCTCCGCGGTGAGAGGCGGCAGCGGCGGCTCCCTCACGTCTCTCCCGGGTGTCCTGTCAGCCAGCAGTTTCCCCCGGGTCCGCAGCGCCGCCTCCGCCGCTGCTGCCACCGCCTCTCCCACATCCCCAGCCTCCAGGGGAGCCGCCGCCGCCGCGCCGCGACCACTGTCCCTCGCGTTTCTGCTGCCTACTCCACTGCCTCCCTCACCCCGCTGGCCAGGCCCGGGCTGCGTCTGGGGAGACGGCGCCGAGGCTGCCGCGAGGCCGCCACAGCCCCCGGCCCACAATCCACCGCGCGGCGCCTTCGGGGCGGGAGGGCCGCGGCCCGGGCCCGGGCGGGGCGGCAGGCGCAGCCCGGCTTCCCGCGGGCCGGGGAGCACCCAGCGCGGTTCCCCCGCGCCTCCTGCGCGAGTGCTGCGGACAAAGAACTCGTCCCTGCGCGCCCCGGCCGCAAGACCCTCCCCCACCCCGGTTGTCCCCGGGAGCTCCAGGTGCAGTCCTCCGCCTCACGCGTGCGGGACGCGATTCTTCTGGGAAGCCCTCTCCTACCCCGCGCGCCAGCAACCCCAGACATCCCTAAGTCAACCCAACACCTTTTAAAGCAGACATTGCCACAGGATTGCCCCTCTCCTTTCACCCCCTCACAGTAACGCCGCCGTTTGGTTTCCCAATTAAAGCGCATCAAAGGTGGAAAGGTCACCCCCACCCACCCCAAGGACACCACGCTGGGCTCTGAATTGTCCGCTGAAACCTTGTGGAGTCTTCTCCCCAAGTTCCAGGCCTTCGTCCTGGCACCTATCACCCTTCCCTGACGCTGAAATCAGTTATTCCTGCTAAGTGAAGAATGAGATTATTGAAGTATGTGTGTTTATTGTTAATATTCTTAACAATATTCCAATTCAGCCCGGTTCCAGAGAGTTGCAACCTTAACACTAATAAAATACAATTCATAAGAAAGCAATGTCTTAGATTTTTTTTCAAAGGTTCTCATTTGAATGCTTGTGTCCCAGTTTTAGGAAAGTTTTATTCCATTTGTGTTTGCTAAAAATGAATTTGAAGCATTTATAAGGTATTCAATGTTTTAACAAATCAAAAATGAAAATAAGTCTCACAGTTGGACACTGGGGAAAATATTGATGTAAGTTTTACTTTCAGTCACTTTGAAAAACTGCAAACATTTTTCTTTCTGAAAGAATTTATCCAACAAAGAGATAGAATTAGGAAGGAAAAGACAAAGAAGAAAAAAGCAAAAATAGAAGTAATACATATTGTTTTGTTTTTGTTTTTTAAACCAAGGATCAAACCCAGGACCTTGTGCTTGCCAGGCAGGTGTTTATGCTGCTGAGCTATATCCCAGCCTCAATTCATTATATTTTTAAGTACAGTTCTCTACAGTTTATAAAAATTCCAAATATGAAATAAATTTAAGACAAGAAAGAAGCCAGCCCTGATTATAAGCACCTGTTGTTCCAGCTACTATATAAATCAAGACAGGAGTAGTCCAAATATGTGGCCAGCTTGAACAATTTAGTAAAACCCATCTCACAATAAAAAGGTCTGAAATTAAATTTAAAATTAAATAAATAAAATTAAAATTAAGAGTTCAGAGGGTGTAGCTCAGTGGTAAAGAGCTTGCCTAATATTGAACAAGATCCCTCAAATAAATATGACAGGGCCGAGGAGATAGCTCAGTAGAAAAAGCGCTTCCCTGGCAAGCACAAGGGCCTGAGTTCAATCCCCAGTTCTGCCAAAATAAATAAATAAGGCAACAAACCAAATTAAAAAAAAAAAAAAGATATCTTCTTACATCCCTGATATTTTATAAAATCAAATGCGTTTACACAGAAGTGGACTGGAATGATAGTTACCAGAGGGTAGGAAATAGGAGATAACAAACAGGGAGAGACTCAAAGACACTCTTTAAGTTAGATAAGAAGGAATAAATTCTAGTGATCTGCTGCACAGAATAGTAATTATAGTTACTATAATTAATAATAATGTGGGGCTGGTGAGATGGCTCAGTGGTCTAAAGCACCTACTTAGAACAAGCTTGGTAAAGCACGGGGACCACGGTTCAATCCCCCAGCACCACATGCCAGCCAGCACCGCCCCCTGGTGGGCTGAGCTGGCTACACACACACACACACACACACACACACACACAAATAAAAATAAAATAAAAAAATAATAATGTATAAAATTGCTGAAAGGGTAGATCTTATTCTCATCATTAAAAAAAAAAATAGGTGAGGGCTGGCCAGATAGCTCAGCGGACTAAAGCATCTGCTTAGGCAGAGCACAGGGCCCCGGGTTTGATCTAGGCATGCCGTGGGGCACCACCCCCATGCCACGCTGAGATGGTAAATGAGACTGGGCACGGTGGTGCATGCCTGTAATCCCAGCTCTTGGGAGGCTGAACACAGGCGCATCACTAGGAGTCTGATATACGTAGTGAGACCCTACAGACTCTATTAAAAAAAAAACCTTTAAAAAAATAGTTGAAGTGGTGGACATGTTAATTGATTTGATTTAATCACACCACACACTCTCTCTCTCTCTCTTTCTCTCTCTCTCTCTCTCTCTCTATATATATATATATATATATATGAACAGTGCATTATATCCCATAAATTTATACAATTGTCAAATAAATTTCTTAAGAATTTTAAACAAATTTATAACGGTAAAAGGATTAACCAAATTTTATCTAAGGCCAAAGAGAAAGGAATTTCGCTTTATGACTAGAATCCGTTCATACATTATACTAAGAAATGGATTTAGTAGTGTCTTATATTTTGAACCTACATCAGGAAGTGAACAACCATTCAAAGTCTGCCTCAGTGGTGGCTTTGGCCTTTTAAAAAATACTCCACCTTGTTCCAGAAAAGATTCCAATTTGTTCTAGTTTGCATATGGGTTAATTTGTAGCCATTGGGTGTCTCCAGGTAACTAGAGCAAGACAAACAGGTTTGCTTTGTCATTTTCCACCTGTTGATAACATACCATAAGAAGAAAATATACACTAAGTATTATGCTCAGTTCTTTCAGGGACAGCGCAGTGCTTACTTTTCCCTTTCCACAGAACAATTCATAATCTTAAATCTAAAGAAAAAAGTAAATGCTGATCAAGTTTGAAAATGAGAGAGAAAGAAATTAAACCATCTTGTTTAAAGACCAAAAAATTTCATAACTAGGTTCATTTGTTATCTCTTGAATCATTCTGATTTATTTAAATATTATATGTCGAATTAGAAATAAATGTGTATAGATATATTATTAATTCTCATTTCCAGAAATCATAGATGACAGAAAATTAAGAAAACTTGATAGAAGATTCTGTCATTGACCTCAAAAAGAGCAAATATCAAGAAAATAGTTAACTACCATATTAAGTGGTCTTGGCATATTTACTATATATTCACAGCTAGGTGTGGTGGTGCATGCCTATAATTCCAGCAATCTAGGAAGCTGAGACAGGATTGTGAGTTTGAGCTGAGGCTGGGCAACTTAGGATTTGGTAAACCCCATCTGAAAATAAAAAATAAGAAAAGGAGCTAGGATGTAGCTCAGTGCAAAGGCCCTGCCTGGGTTCAGTCTCCAATACCACACGCACACAGGAAAGAAAAGAAACTAGGCATTCATGTGTCAATATAAATACAGAGGGGAAAGGAGGTGATGGTATAAGGAATAAATAGGAATTTTTTTGGGGGGGCTGGCTCAGCCTCCGTTGGGATGAGGCTTGTACAGCATGTGGTATTAGGGAACAAACTGTAGTCCCCTGTGCTGCCTAAGCTTGCCTAAGCAGACACTTAGACTGCTGAGCTATCTCACCAGCCCAGGAAAAACTTCTTGTAATTTATAAAGATATGAGTATTAGCCCCCTCCTTTTTTTCCACAATATCAAACTTGAGTCTATCAAATGGAAATTCCCTCAAGTTCTCTAACCTAGTTTATAGACAAGTATTCATAACTAGATTTTATGGTTAGTATAAATTGCCCTTGGTAAGCATGTACTCATAAATTGAAAATATGATGCTGGTAGTTATTTCATCAGTGTTTGACTTTTTGATCCAGTGTCTGGAATTATTTTCTCTATCATATTGGAGCTGCTTTTTAACTGTACAATGTTTAAGTGTCATCATTTATAGTACTATGACTCTAACCTGAAATTGCTTTGATGTTTCCCAATATTCAATGTAGGATTATCTTAATATAGAAAAACTTTCCAGTTGACACACAATATGATGTAAGATGTTAAAACTAAGTGTGAGTTATAAGCACCAGTAAGGGTGCAACCGTTATGGAAATCAGGATGGAGACTCCTTAGAAAAGTTGGTCTGGAAATCCCCTTTAAACCAGCTATTCCTCTACTGGGAATTTTCCCAGAGGATCTGAAAACATCATAT